TACATGGCAAACTGCTTCATTAAGCAGACTATGGTGAGCCTGTTGAAGTACTAAGGGTGGCACGTTCGTGCCTACTACCTCCGGGACCAATTTCCAAAAAGAAAATATAAAGCACTTTTAAAATCCTGAACACTGAATATTGTAAAACCACACCAAGTCATGAATTGCACACTATTTCATAGAGATTGGTTGTTTCTCCTCAGTCATCACTGTCATGTTCGCCTCAACGACAATACACGCCTGGGCCAGTCAAAAGGGTGTGCTCGGTCCATGACCCTGACAAAGTCATACGTTACGAATAAGTTATCGCAGCGCCTGATTCGCAGGATTTATGATTTGCAGACGATCAGTCATGGGAAAAGACCGATGAACTGAATGCGGATGAGCAGGGAACTGTGACGTAACAGTGGTCAGTTTCGTGATCAAAGAAAGAGATAAAGAGATATGGTACGGTGTGGCCAATGGTATGAAAGTCAGTTCGCTGCGGCACTCGTTCGGCTTGAACTGAAGCCAATAAAATACCATCCCGCTTCCCAGCAGTTGTTCTTGCAATTCTACGGACTGTTTCATTCATTTAAGGAAAGGTCGACGTTCGCTTAAGGGTCGTTCAACTGCGGAATGCCTTGAAACGTGCCTAACTTTATGCGAATAGAAACTATTTCAAAACTTTTAAAGGATAAAATGCCTTGACCACCCTACCATTTCATACCTACATCTACTGACGATTCTGACGTTATTTGACTTTTCATAATGCTATGTAAATTATTAGCCAAACATCATAATAATCTATGAAAATTGATCTGATCCGGCTGGTGATTTCAAAACTAAAACGTAATCTTTATAGATGTGGCAGTACACCAAGGTTGGAAGTGATTCAGTAATGCGCTTTGAAGCCTATCCCCTTCATCTGTGTTTAATTGCACTCAGTGAGATTGAAATTTGCATCAGTTTTCTTCAATGCTCATGTACACGTGGATCACCGATCACTGACCATTCTACCAATCAATCCACTGAATTACACCGAATAATTACTGAACAATGGTACAGCCATTCAAGTGCTTAAGTAATCCATCCCGAGTGGCGGCACGTGTTTAACATGGAACCGTGGTCGCAAAACGTCTAGAACCAAGGCGGAAGTACCACATGATTTTTTCATCGTCATTCAGATCATTTTTCTTCTAAAAGGTTCATACGGTATACATGGTTTTTAACCGTATTCAAACTCTGCTACGTGATACTGAGATGCCAATGTGAACTATGGCACTAAATCTTGGTCTGCTACTAAAACCAAGGATCACAATCCGACTGTCATGCACAGCGTGATTCAGCGAAGAATGTGTTGGATTCGAGCTCGAATATTCGACAACACTCCGCATTAACATGTGCGATTTCTGTCTTCAACGAAGCCATGAGAAAACGTGTTGATGATGGCTTGCATGCCTAACAGAAAAACTGTGGCTGTCAAGAATTACAGAGTTCCCCTTAGATGGCAAACATCCACTTCAGTCGTCCAAGCAGCACACGCTCACACAAGGCGATAGTTAAACTACCTGGTCAGCCCTGAGGCTGGAAGGAGGAAGCGGTGAATGAAGATAATATCTGAGTAGCGCATCCATGACGAGTAGAGGGCAAGTCAAATAACGAACAGAACACATACAACATACACAGCGTTTAAAGCTAGCTTTAAAGTAACACATTTTCCATGTGTCAGATAGAGAAAACGCCTCGTCATGTGTCATGTGAAATGCGGATAATCGATTTAGATATATGATCCAGTTTAAATACGAATATCCGTATATTTTCGTATATCATGCGGTTTTACGGTCACATGAAACATTTTAGCACTCGATAAACTGTTTTGTTAGTTTAGGTTACTTTAGTGATTCAAACGTTCACTACTTCTCAGCGGCTGTGGAAAACAAACTTCGCTATGCATCACAATGTATAATTTCAGATATTAAAACATGAGTTAATTGCATGTACTGTATAATTAGCACATTCAAATTAATGCTAATTATGCGTATATAAAATTTTGACTACAATGATCAGAACCGCCGCCAATCAACAACACCCACGTAATGTGTCGTTAAATCTTTCCACAGTGCTAACTACATTTTGAGGGGAGGATGAACGCGGGATGACTCATTTACTGGAAGAATGCATATCCAAACGATGCGCAGGAGATAATAACAGGAGGGGCAGAAAAACGAAATTCCTTAGCGCAACTTTGTTGAACAAGGCCAGGAAAATAATAATGTCGCCTAACCGTGTACATATCGACGACATCTTTCCAAACTGATGGCGACATCTGCCACATTGTAGCATTTAACAATGGTATACATTAGTTTATGCAAATTAACATATTTTCCAGATCTAAGCTTTAGGATTCACAACTGCGATGATTTGGGCACATCTTATGCATGATTTAAAAACGACAAACATCTTATGCAAAACAGCTATTACTTGCTCAACCTACCATCTGAAGACCCCGGGGACAGTGAAGAATGACGAGAGGCAAGTGCATGGAAGGACCCAGCTCCAGACTCAGGTTATTTTCCGCCAAAGCTGCACTGACAACTGACCAACTAGCCAACTGACTGACTGACAAATTAACATCGACTATCTTTCGGAAGAAAACCGTTTGTTTTCTGAAACTAATTTCAACTGTGAGTGTTTTTATTCAATAAATTGGCACTTCAACGTTGTGGACATAAGGAAACAAACAATTGGCAATTTTTATTATAATTCCTGATGCTTCAGCCAATCTACATTCACCTTCTTCAGGCAGACAATGAGTTGAAGAATGCCCACCAGCAGCGTTCACCTAACTTTCGAGTAAACTATCATTATGGACATGGCTGTTGGGCTTTCTCCAATTTACTGCTTGTTCTCATTTCTCCTCATGATGACCGGTGTACCTTGGCTGAAACATCAGCCCTTCTAGTAAAGACTATTGTTCGTTTGCTTCATAGCTTGAAAACTGTTGAAGTGCCAGTTTATTAAAACCAATTGGTTTAAAAACATCTTTTTGTAAATTAATTATTCATATTTTCTAACGTCAAAGACAGTGATCAGTAAACTGAACAAATCTAGTAATATTCAATTATAATAAACGAATAACACAAATTCAAAATGTAAGTAATTCGACTGATCAAGTCCTAATTATATTCAATTAAAATTACACCGTACCTTAATGCGAACCTCATTTTTGAGAAAAAAAACTGAGCATGTGTTGAAATGACCATTCTTTACTAATTAATAGTGTGTTTAAGAGCGTTCGACTATATTATTACGTTAAGATGACAATTATCACTTTCACGCGTTGGACTAATAAAGAATTACGCTGACAATTCGCATAACTTGGTAAAACTGAGAAACATTACAGTTAAAGGAGGAGCTGAATGAAGGCTAAACATGCGTAACAAACGAAATACTTCTTCAAAGGTACCAACGCTTCTCGGGGATTTCGAAAATGTCGTTACTTTTACGTTGTGTTGATCAGCTTGAAATATTTGCTTTGAGTAGAACGTCTCCTTGTCTCCGCTCAGAGGTAGTCGCTGCATTCCTACCTTTAGCGCCATAAGGCACCGTCTGAAGCATCGTAGATGGTACAATTTCAACCTAACAGAGATCCGACTCCATCTTTCTCATCCATGTTGCATACTGGCCGAATGGTCTGCCATGCTTTGCTTCCCACATAAGATTCTGGAGATCTGGAGTGAAGGGTCCGTGCTTAAGGATGTATGCGCGGTTTTTGTACTACTATTAGCTTCGTTTCTTCATCTTTACGTCTACGGAGGAAATATGCAGAGAGAACAAGATCGAATAATTACTTCTGTGATTCTGCCAGCTAACCCTCATTATGTATCGCTTGCATAATAATCAACAGCAGATGAAAAAACAATTATTATATGGATGAGAGGAGACACTGACGGAGAAGCGCAAACGACTGCAATGCATTGATTGCTGTGCGTCGAATTTTGTGTCACTGTTTATTTCTGCTCTGCCTGGATCGAACGCAGACGGGTGTAAACTTTTACGTTTGTTTTTCTATCATTAAATCTACTTAATTCTGTTTACCGATATTAGACTGCTCAATTGAACCTCTATGAACACATGTGCGTCGTTTAATAACCACCATTTGATTTGTCAGTATAGGGAGTAGTTTCAAGGAGGTATTTCATTACCCTAAACGCAGGCACTCTCTGAAATCACTGCTGTTTCAATTAATGCAGATGAGTATTCTTTCATTGAAGAAGAAAGTTATTAGCACGGGATGGAAAATACTGACCGAACCAATCAAAGACTAAATGTACTAAATGTACAAAAGCGGAAGACAAAATCATATGCCTATTATCGTGAATCATGAGGGATAAGTTACTCGATGGACTTACAGTACGTTTAGCATTATTCAAGGATGACGATTATGTACTCAGACAGAGTTTTCTAAATCGGTTACGTAAAAACCTCTGACACTTCGCAGACTTAGGGTTCAACCTAAGGGTTCGCAGACTCTATGTGAATTCAGATTTTGTCAACATGCATAGCTCTGACCATTAATGAGAAACTAAGTCGCAGGGACTATAAGGTATGACACTGAGCTTTTCCGCTTATCGCCGGCATCAGCAATACAAACTGCGGATCATCCAGATCTAGGTCATCAAGCCAAATCCATGTAGCTTTTTGGTCAGCAGTTGTTGGACCACCCAAGTCACTCGCGACACTCACAGATCTTAAGGGCTCGGTGTCAGCATGCCGGTGTGCGAAACAGCAACACTCAGTTATACCGCCGCTCCGTTACGCTGTTTATCTGAGAGTCAGGTGAGACCGACAAGACAGGAAAACGATCGTTTTCAAAACTGATGCGGAAGAACATATGGAGCTGCTGATTCATATGCGTTATGCCTGAAAGCTGGACTGCCGATATTTTAAAACTTTTGCGTACTTCGAAACGGTGATGAATTTTGCAAGTGCTGACAGCAATGCGCGCGTGTTGCATAGACTAACATGCTTTGATCGATTGACAATCGGTTGTTGTGACGTACGACGTACGACATACCTTGTATTTGGTAATGTTTGTCCTCGGCATTCCGAAGCCGGTCATGCCCGCTTGGCTGGCATACTTGTTGGTACCCATCTGTAAATGTAGGAAGCCTTGGCTGTTGCGGTCCTGATCCGGGTTGTAACGGCCGAGCACACTGCGCGGCATGCCGAATCCGGTCATGCCCGCCTGGCTGGCCAGCTTGTTCGTTCCGGATTGTAATGGAATAAGGCCGTCGGTGGACTTCTGCTTGTCTTCTGATACCTAAAACGAAGCGGCACTAAGTCACATTCGAAACGGTGACCATCGTCACCGCTGCCACACCGGAGTCACCGCCGTCTCTAAGTACCTCACTTGCTCCTCCCGTGCCTTTGGTTCGGTAGAAAACATCTCGGGGCATG